ATTACAAACGCACAGATGCTAGTTTCCCTATCTCAATGTCACTCTTGGATTTTGGTCTTGCAAGATCCTGGAGAGACCTGCTAAAGTCAAGCTCAGTTCAACCCATTCATTTAACAACTCATTCCCATTGCAAATATGTATTACCGTTGAGGGGAATGGGATGGCATGGTGAGAAAAAAATCCCACCACCAAGCAGGTGCTATGCCTTGACAGAAAAGTCAAACGTTTTTGTTTCTTGCTTCAGATATTGTACTTACATGGAGATGACATGTCCGGGTGAAAACCCAGCATTCTTTAAAGCAACAGCTCCCAAACTGTTGGTTCAGAAAAGCTGTCTGGGCATATGGTGCCAACACTTCTGGAATACAACCAATGAGAGAGGAGACAAACTGAAACAGCACAGCCTGATTAACTGTTTGCAAAGCAGGCAGACTCTGCCAAGACAGCTTAAGTTACCTGAACACTCTCCTGATTTCACTGTTGCCTCTTTGCTAAGCAGTCTGTAGCAGAGCTGAAGGCTTTGCCATTCATTTCTATTACCTCAGATAGGTCATACTATGCCTACTGTCCTCTGGGTTTGGCCTCTCTGGAAGCTCCCAGCCTGGCCAGATTATGCCTAATCCACACAATATCCTTCATAGGGGCAGAGATAGGCCTGACTGGGAAGTTCATGGGTCTGGACGTCCCTAAGAACAAAGGGATCTTTGGAGCTGAAGTTTCCACTGGGACCCTTCTCTACTCACTCACGGGGCTCCCTATCTGCCTCTTGTGTTATTGGGTTGTAGGAGAAGTGTAGGCTGCAGCAATTTGGCTCTTCTTTATCTTGGGCTGGTCCTGAGGTTTGGGGGGCCCCACCCAAACAAAGGGACCTCTTTGAGATGAGAGACTGAGATGCTGCCTCCTCCACCTCCTGTCTTTGGGCCCAAGAGAGATCCAGGTGCTGAGTTGTTTTCTTTGGTCCGATTGTTGGGAAGTGAGCGTTGAACGGCGGGGTTTGCAAGGCATACGGAGCCCCAAACAGCCTCTTGCTTGGCCAGCCCTCTCTTTGTCACCTCCTCTTGTTGTTCCTCCGCAGGTAAAGTCAGAATGCTGGAGAGCTTCAGCTCGGTGGTCCGCGTTGCTGTGGAGACGTCAGACTCCCAGGTAAATGTGGAGCTGGTCCCTACTGTGGAAATCCCAACCTGCTGGCCTGAGAGAGCCCGGTGGCCCCGCTGCTTCACACGCTGGCCTTCCCAGGAGAAAGTGCAGTGCGTCAAGGTATAAAGCAGGGGGTGCAAGAGGAGGCTTAAAGGATCAGTAACCAGGTCTTACCTTATTGTCAAAAATATCCTCGCCACAGGGAGCTGGGAAACCCACTGGACGTCTCAGAAGATACTAGTGCTAAATGGTTCTGAGTAGCACAAAGGCTGAGGTGCACGGTTGTCAAGGTTGCTGGAACCCCAATTGGAATGGCAGCATTTTCTCCCAGTGTGTGACTCATTTGGCACAGATGTAAATAATGACACCAGGTGTCATTTGGCACAGATGTAAATAATGACACTAGGCAGGTGAGAACTGGGCCTTTTGTGGGGAGGATGAGATACCACTTTCCAACAGGCACCCAGAGCGCTGTTGACTTGCATCGTCTGCAGCTAAATGCTTGCTGGAGGAGAATGAACACCAAGCCTCCAGTGCTGGATTTCCTATTAGTGGCATAATTCTTTTTGTAGGGGGTCTCTCTTAAGATTGCAGATCTCCCTGTTCTATATTCATCTAAACTGATCTTCTTGCTCTGAAATCAGACCCAGAAAAATTCATACTCCTCTTCAAATGCCCAGAAGGGCTACTTTCTTTAGTGCATATAGCTAAGTGTTCACATGTTTTGAAGCACACTACTTTATTACTGCTTCAGGGAGTAGCCGAGTTAGTCTGTGCAGGTAAACTGAAAAAACAACAAATAGTCTGGTAGCACTTTATAGACTAACAAAACATGTAGATGTAATTAGTTTATTATTGTTTGTGAATCCTGTGCCGGTGAAAGTGGAGGGTTGCTAACTAGGATTGCCAGATGCTTTCACCAAAAGTCCCGAACATGGCAGGAAAAAGACTTGGTTGAGCAAAAAAAAAAGGTTGTTGAGCAAAAAAAACCCCCAAGGAACAAAAAAATGATCACTGCGCCTTTAAGAATCCCCACGCTCCTCTCTTCCCCCTGCCCACCGCTGGCCTTCCGTCTGAGAGAAACAGAAAATAGAACATTTTACATGTCCGGTATTTTCTGTTTTGTTTTTTTTTAACAGACAGGGGCCAGAAATAACAGACTGTCCGGGCAAAAACCGGACACCTGGCAACCCTATTGCTAACATATGGCAGCGTATAGACAGAAGCTGTTTAAGACTCCCCATGCCTCTCTCTCAGCTCTACTGGTGCCGCTCAATCCTGACCAGCACCAGTCTGCACCATTCATATTGTACTAGTCTTTCACTCTGCCTCTGACTGGACCACACCCTGCTCTCCACATGCCCCTCAGTCTTATCCTGCCCTGCACCTGGTGAGCCCTGTCTTACACTGCTTCCAGAGCTCGGGCTGCCTCGGTCCTGAGGTAGTGAGCCGCCTCCTGCTGTTCTCGTCCAGGATTACCCATGTAGCTCAATTGCATCCTCATCCTGGCCTGCAGTGGGCTCTGCTGTGACATTTCCACTTCCTCATACAGTTGTGTGCTGCCCACAGCAATCCCTGCTGCTCCGGAGCTGGATCTCTCCAGAGTGAGTAATAGCCATCGGTGAGGAGCTCACCTGGTTTTATGTTCACTGGGTATTAGGAAACCCAAACTTGCTGTCCCTTGAACTCAGTCCATAATGCAAAACCACCCCGCAGAGGTAACAGGCAGATGCAGTGGATCTTTCCCTTATCCTCCCTTCATGCTGCTCTAAAGCTAAATTTGCATTTCCCCCTCTGTAACTTCTCCCCCTTTCTTCTGCAGTCATTTGGTTTCAACCTCCTGGCCCACTCCAACTACCACTGGCAGCTGGGATTCTCCCGAGCTGAGCGCATGCTGATCGAGGGCCTTGATGAGGATGGTGGCTGCCGTATGAAGTGCTTCCGGGTCATGAGACAGATGAAGGAGGATGTCTGGTGTACGGGAAATAAGCCAATCCTGACATCCTATCACCTTCAGGTAAGCATGGCAACAACTGCAACACAATTATTGGCCTAAGCAGCTCTAGCACCTCTAGCAAACACCAAAGTAACGGCGGTCATCATCTTCTGCTCTTTTTCCCTTACATGCGGTGCAAGAATTGCTGTTCATCTCCATTCCACACAACTGTTAAAAGAACATTGTGGTTGCACAGTTACCAGGATCCATACAAAAGTCAGACTGTCTCAGAGTTAAGGCTGCCCATGCTTACAGCCCTGCGAATCCCCAGATATCTGCTTTCTATCCACAGGTATCTGCATGCTTGGATGTCAATATGGATATCCACGGCTCATTTCTGTGGATGCAGATGCAGATACAAATTTTGTATCTGCGTGGGACTCTACCCATGCTACCGTCAGTCCACATATGCATTACAGTACAAATTTCAGCTGCAGAATCACATACTATTTCTTGAACAGTGTCATATGTTATACTCCATTTTCCCAACTACAACCTAACCCACTTTGCATTTCTGCTGAGCCTTCTGTCTGAGGAGCTCAAAGTGATTTACAAAGATTTACCCAGTTGTGCACAGAACACTCTCTGTGCAGTAGCAGGCTAGGTTCAGAGGTAGGAAACAGGCACAGAAAGGAGAAGTGACTTGCTCAAGGTCACACAGTGGATGCCAAGGTCAGTAGTGACTGAAAATTGTCCCCAATGGATGGCTATGGACTGGCCTCTCTGAAATGAGTTTAGTGTGTCTCTCTGGCCCCTGGTGAGCTGGTGTGCACACAAAACCCTCCACTGTGGTATTCTTGTTGGTGAGGTAATTAGAGGAGAAGGCAAGGAGTGACTTAGTGTGGTCCGTCTGTGTCAGAGGAGAGGTGAAGTGACAGGAGGTGCTTGCGTTGCCATTGCCTTCGGTCTGTAGGGCAGTCCCTCCTGCACTTTCCATCAGCAATAAAGTTACCTTAGCTAATTGTGTGACTCTCTGGCAGCATCCCTGTAACATCTCTTCTCCTTCCCTCTCCCTGCCCTCCTCTCCCCTCCATCTGCCTCCCGCAGACAGTGCTGTTCTGGACATGCGAGAAGTACCCGCGCACCAAGGACTGGCGCTGCTTCCGGGAAGGCTTCCTGCGGATGGTGCGGAAGCTGCACAAGTGCGTGAGCCAGCACTTCCTGAAGCATTTCTTCATCAGGGGCACCAACCTGCTCAAGTATGCCAACACCAGCGACCTGGACCTGGTGGCAGGCAAGCTAACCGTATTCCTGGAGAACCCTGTGCTCTGCCTGGACTGAGGGAGGGAGAACCTGCTGTCCGAATCTGGTTTTACACCCAAGCCCCTCTTGTCTGTGGTTCTTCTTCTTGCCCTTCCAGTAGGCACTGTGCCCTTGAATGTGAGTCATGTGGCACGGGCGGTGTGAGAGAGAAGTGTCAACTGGGAATAGTGAGAGGACAAAACTCTCTAGAGGGTTTGCTTGATGCCCAACCATTGCAATTTGCTTTCTAGAGCTGCCTGTCTTGGAGCCACTGCCATGCAGATCCCCAAAACAAGCCAGAGCAGGTGCTATTCTACCCTTTGTCACTAGTCCTATGGCTTATAGGCCAAAAGGCAGAGTGGTCTAGTGGTAAGAGCAGGAGACTAGCAATCAGGAGACATTGCTCTGCCACCCACTCGCTGTGAGACCTTGTGCTCATTGCTTGACTCCTCTACGCTGCTTCCTCGCCCAAAGTAACATGGAATTAATATTTACCTACCTGACAGCATTGTTGTGAAATGAAATGAATGTTTGTGCAATGCATTGAGAGCCTCAGATGGAAACCTCAGTGCAATCATAAGGTATTATTGTTAGAGCCAGTCTCTCACATCTTGCTCCATATTGAAATGTGGCTCTCGCTCTAGCTGTAAAGAGAGTTGACCTGGTAAGTGTTGAATATTTAAGTTGCTGTTTTTGCCTTTCTCTTCTGGTCTTGTTCCCTCAACTTTTTCTTGTGGCAGGCTCTTGGTGCTTGTTTGCCACCCATGCTAGTGCCATGCCATCGGTCCCCTGTCAGTGTTTGCTGCGCCAGAGCTCTCTAGCATCTCTGGCTCTGCCCAGCAGTCTGGGGGATGAACTGATCTTTCACCGTTTAGCACCTGTGCTATTAGAGAGCGCCAGAGAATTTTCCAAAGGTTCCTTGTTCCTAGTTGCACAGGATTCCAGAGCTTTATACGTGACAAAATAAAATGCTTGTTTTTTGAGAAAAGACACAAAAAGAGTTCTAAAGTGAATGTTGTATTTAATGTTGTTAAATGACTCAAGTTATAATAAAGTGTTTTATTTTCTACTACCATTAAATGCTGGATGGAGTATGACCTGGTCACATAATTTGAAAAGAAATATTTTCTTCGCTGTCATGGCCAAGGGATCACCATGATCTCTGCTGTAGCCCCTTGCACTCTTTTGTTTGACTGTAAGCTCTTTGGGGGCAGGGACTGTCTTGTCATGATGAGTGCAAACAGCACCCAACACAATAACGCTTGAGTGGGTCAGAAAAGCCCTACTGCAATATAGATAAGGAATGGTGTCCCTAGCCTCTGTTTGTCAGAGGGTGGAGATGGATGGCAGGAGAGAGTTCGCTTGATCATTACCTGTTCAGTTCACTCCCTCTGGGACACCTGGCATCAGCCACTGTCGGCAGACAGGATACTGGGCTGGATGGACCTTTGGTCTGACCCAGTACGGCCGTTCTTATGATTATGGTCCTCTGTTTGCAGCTCCCTTCCCTGCCTCTCTTTCCAGTCCCTCCTTCTCAAAGGCCATCTCTGGCCCAGCTCGCTCTCACAACCCAGACTTCTTGTTGCCCATGTCTGGCCCTGTCACACTCGCTCTCCCCAGCCCTGCTCTCACTTCAGTTTTAACTTAAATAACATCATGGATGAAAGAAAAGATACAAGTGTTGGCCTCTCGTGAGGCTATGATGTGGCTAGATTTGATATGCTCGCTTTTTGTGTTGCTGCCCATTTCTGAGCTGGTAGTGGGATTCCATCATTCTCTGTCCTCCAGTTCCATCTTCCTGCCAAAGACCACTCTTTCTCATCTCCAGCCCCTTTCCCTTCTATCTTCCACTCCCCAGAACTCACTGTATCTCCAGCACCTGTATCTCACCTCCCTCAGCACTTACGCTGGAAAGGGAATTCAATTTGTGTTGTCTGAATGAGGTCTCTGTTACCAGCACCATTGAAGATGATTTTCCCTGATACGATAACTGCATTCAGGGAAAATTTGTTCCATCTTCATGGTAGGTCATTCAAATCTTCCTTCTTCTGCCAGCACGGCACATTCATTCCATGCAAGCATGCAACCTCTGCTTCTGCAGCAGCCACTCCTGCCCCTTTCGGTGTTTCTCTTGGTCATCTCCACTGCCCCCTTATAATCCCGAAAAGTAGTAGGCTACGTCTACACTGGCATGATTTTCCGGAAATGCTTTTAATGGAAAAGTTTTCCGTTAAAAGCATTTTCGGAAAAGCGCGTCTAGAATGGCAGGATGCTTTTCCAGAAAAGCACTTTTTCCAGAAAAGTGTCCGTGGCCAATCTAGACGCGGTTTTCCGCAAAAAAACCCCGATTGTCATTTTCGCGATCAGGGCTTTTTTGTGGAAAACAAATCTCTGCTGTCTACACTGGCCCTTTTCCAGAACAGTTTACCGGAAAAAGACTTTTGCCCGAACGGGAGCAGCATAGTTTTTCCGGAAAAGCACTGATGATTTTACATGAGATCATCAGTGCTTTTGCGGAAATTCAAGCGGCCAGTATAGACAGCTGGCAAGTTTTTCCGGAAAAGCGGCTGATTTTCCGGAATAACTTGCCAGTGTAGACACAGCTGTAGACTTTTTAAAAAGTAATCCCATATTAGTCTGATCTTGGTATAACAAAAGGAAAAACTATATGTAGCACTTTAAAGATTAACAAGATAGTTTAATAGGTGATGAGTTTTTGTGGGGCAGACTCACTTCTTCAGATCATCTTCTGAAAGTGAATTGGCATGACCATATATAACAGAGGGATACAATGAAGAAAGTAAACAGATGATGAAGTAACAAATCAGATATTAGAACAGAAGGGCAAGGAAGAGATGAGGAAGGAGGAAATAGCTTATTGTAAGTCAATGAGCGGCTAATCTGGAGTTACTAGACTATCAATAGGTGGGGAGGCTGTCTTTGTAATGTGTAAGGTAAATAATCCTGTAAAGCTGGTAGCAGGGTTGTATTCAGTTACAGCCCCTTCTATGCCCAGTTTCCAGACAGAGAGAAGAAAGGAAATGGGCAGCTTCTAAAATGGCTATAAAGAGACCTGTCCAATCACCATGCTGGCCTCTCCCTCATCCTACAGCGACACGCACAGTGAAGATGAATAGAAGATGATAGCAGGGCTGCAAAGAACTGGAAAAAAGTGATGGACGGGTCTGTGGAAAATACCGAGTTTCTACCTGTAGTGGTAATTGTGGATTTGCAGCACCCTCTAGCATCAAGTTGTATATATTGCCTTGGACACTTTTTAATGTCTGTGTTTTTTCTCTCCTGGATTTATAAGTGGAAGCAACATGTCTTTGAGTTTCTTTAAGTCTCATAGTTCAGAGCAGTGGGATGGGAGTTTGGCTGTTTATCACATCCAGCGCCCTAGCCTTTGAGGTTTGCTCCATGCCTATCTATCAGAGCAGAGTCGGAACTAGTTTTCCGAGCCAATGAAATGGTTCACAGCTTTTTTCTTCTCAGCCCTGGAATGAAGTTTCAAAAAAGAAGCCACCGAGCACCGTCTCATCAGAGTTTGATTCAGCGCAGGGCTGAGTATCTTAATCTTTGGACTTCAAGTCTGTCTATTTATTTTGGTGGCTCAATGAGTATTTAATAATTTGTACAAAATGGAACCACTCCCATGGGGTGACTGATCAGGACCCACCCCAGAATAGCCTTTTAGTAAGGGCACCCGCTGGCATAGCAGTAGTGGCGTAGTTCTGAACAGTGCATGAGAGCTCATGCTAAGCCAAGAATGACAATTGGAGAACAAAACGGCCTTCTCCATGCAGCAAAAGTACAGGCAGGCCATTGCTATGTAATCTGGCCCCACTACAGCCCAGTACAGGAGCAAGCCAGGCAAGGTTCCCTCTAAGGTGCACAGTCTGACAGCTGTTTAATCAGCCCCACCCAGCCATGGGCTCAGGGCTCCATGAGCTGCCTGGCTGGACGGGGCTCATTAAGCAGCTGTGGAGCTGTGCTGCCGTGCACCTTAGAGGGAACCTTGGAGCCAGGTTCAAGTCCCTCTTTTGTCTGACTGAGAGGAAGAATCATGAAGGTCTCCCAGGTGAGTGTTCCAGGTACAGGGCTATTGCCTAGTCTCTGGCATGTTCTCTGGTTTTGACCAGAAATTCCACCCTAGACGCTGGACGGGGCTCATTAAGCAGCTGTGGAGCTGTGCTGCCGTGCACCTTAGAGGGAACCTTGGAGCCAGGTTCAAGTCCCTCTTTTGTCTGACTGAGAGGAAGAATCATGAAGGTCTCCCAGGTGAGTGTTCCAGGTACAGGGCTATTGCCTAGTCTCTGGCATGTTCTCTGGTTTTGACCAGAAATTCCACCCTAGACCCAATACAGGAAGTGACACTTACTGAATCCACCTGAAGCTGCGGAGGGGATTTTAGGTGTGTATAATGTCATCCTGAACAATGGGCACTGTCCAGGCCACCAGATAGGACTGCAATGCTCTTAGGAAAAGTCACTGTGAGATAACCGGCGGCACTGTAGGGAATATGGGAGATACATCAGGATATTGTTGATACCAATAATATAAAATTACAAGGAATCTGACCAGATATGCTGTGTAAGTCTTGTCAGTGGCACATCAGGACTAAGGCAGGCTTCCTGAGGCTCCCAGATGCGGCCGGCATGTCCCTGCAGCCCCTAGGCACAGCAGGCAGCATGCACCACACGAAGCCGTCTGGCTACGTTTCCGCCTCCGCCTAGGGACTGGACAAGCTCAGTGCTCCTGGGAGATGCACAGAGCTGGGGCAGGCTGGGAGTCTGCCTTAGCTCCACTGCACTGCTGACAGGGAGCCCCCTGAGGTAAGCACTGCCCAGTCAGAGCCCACACCTCCAATTCCCTGCCGCAGTTCAGAACCCCCCTCTCACACCCTAACTTCCTCTCAAAGCCTGCACCCTCTCCTGCCCCCAACCTCCTACCCTAGCCCTGAGCCCACTCCCGTACCCAAACTACCTCCTGAAGCCTGCGCTCCACAGCCCCCACACTCCCAACCCCTTAGCCCCAGTGTGGAGCCCCCTCCTGCACCTCAGACCTCTGATCCCCAACCTCACCCCAGAGCCTGCATTCCCAGCCGCAGCCCTCTCCCTCTCCTGCACTCCAGTCCCCTGTCCAGAGCCCCCTCCCACATCCTGAACCCCTCATCTCTGGCCTCACCCTAGAACTTGCATCCCCAGCTGGAGCCATCATCCCTCCCACACTCCAACTCCCTGCCACAGCCCAGTTAAGTGAATGAGGTGTGGGACAGCAAACAACAGAGGGAGGGGACTAGAGCGAGTGAGAGAGGGCCTCAGAAGAGGTGGGGAAGGGCAAACGTGTTTGGTTTGGTGCAATTTGAAAGTTGGCATCCCTAATGGCAAAGGACATAAAGAGGCAGCTGCATTTTTTCCAGTCCTGCTTCTTACCTCTGGAGTGACCTTTTCTACAACCTATCAGCGGGGTAGCCGTGTTAGTCTGGATCTGCAAAAGTGACAAGGAGTCCTGTGACACCTTATAGACTAACATGTATTGGAGCATAAGCTTTTGTGGGCAAAGACCCACTTGACATGACATGACATGCATCTGACGAAGTGGGTCTTTGCCCACAAAGCTTATGCTCCAATATCTCTGTTAGTCTATAAGGTGCCACAGGACTCCTTGTCACTTTTTCTACAAGCTGATGCTCTGTACAAAGGGCTGAATGACCCATCCAAGCTGTGGGCATGTTTCAGAAGGACTTTCAAGCTAGCAATCCCAATAACTCTGCTAAGAACCTGTTACATGGACTTTGAAGTCTCTGGGGGTATGTCTACACTACCCTCCTAATTCGAACTAGGAGGGTAATGTAGGCATACCGCACTTGCAAATGAAGCCCGGGATTTGAATTTCCCGGGCTTCATTTGCATAAAGCCGGCCGGCGCCATTTTTAAATGCCGGCAGTTCGAACCCCGTGCCGCGCGGCTACACGCGGCACGGAGTAGCTAGTTCGGATTAGGCTTCCTAATCGAACTAGCTGTACTCCTCGTGGAAGTACCCCCTGACAGTTAGGAGTCCGAACTACCTAGTCCGTGCCGCGTGTAGCCGTGCGGCACGGGGT